GGGGTCAAGAGCCTGCCACATAAGATAAAGAGCCAGCTGAGACTGACAATACAGGCATAAGGCTACTGGCCTTCAGCATGTCCAACCCCGTAAAAGGCTCTAGAAGCAGATCCCCAGAAATTGGGACGCATTTGGTTTCTCAATTCTTTTTCCCGGCAAAAGAGTGCCCTCTCGTGGCCTTTCTGGGTGCTACATCAATGCTCTCCAAGGGAACCAGCAGGAGGAAAAAGGGGCTCTAGGGACCCACCTCACCACCCAAGCCATAAGAGCAGTCCGTCTTCAACGAGGAGAAGGGGGAAAAGAATGACCTCTCTGGGGCCGTTTTTAAACTGCCTTCAGGATGACATTCAACTGTTTAGTCTTCACTCCACAAACATTTCCTCTTGTTGCCATGAGCCAGGCTCAATGCTGCTGCTGAAAACAAGGGGCCATAATGCCCCAGAGGAGTGCCCAGCTTATCCAGAAAGCCCAAGGCTGTTCTCTCCCTCTGTGCCTGAATGGTTCCCCACCCCTGATGGGCCAAGATATTCATTCATGGCCTCCCTATTTTTTTTCTTTTTTCTTTTTTTTTTGTATGATCAACTGGAGAGAAGAGGAAAATCTGAAGAGTGGTGTCCTGAAAGCCAATAGAAGCAAATGTTTCCTGAAGGGAATGGTCAAGCATGCAGTGCTGCTGCTAATGGGTAGCTGCTGAACAAAGTAAAGCAAGGACTGCAAATTGGTCACCAGATTCAGCAGAATGAAAACTGCTAGAGAACTTGACAAAGGCCGTTTCCATGGAGTCTGGAAGGTGTATGTCAAGAGAAAATGATGCACTACTGTGGCCATCATGAGCAGCACATTTTTTTTTTTTTTTTTTTTTGAGTTGGAGCCTCACTTGGTTGCCCAGACTGGAGTGCAGTGGCCGCTCCCGGTCACCGCAGCCTCGCCTGCTGGGCTCCAGCGTTCCTTCTGCCTCAGCCTTCCGAATAGCCGGAATTACAGGCATGCGCTACCACGCCCGGCTGATTTTTTGATTTATTGTTGAGATGAGGTCTCACTGCCCAGGCGGGTCTCTAACCCGCGGGCTCAGGGAACCCGCGGGCTCAGGCAATCCACTCACCTCAGCCTCCCAAGGCGCGGGATTACAGGCTGAGCCACCGAGCCCGGTTAAAGTTATTTATTTATTTATTTATTTATTTATTTTTTGAGTTGGAGTCTCACTCCATCACCCAGGCTGGAGTGCAGTAGCACACTCATGACCACCCCAGTGTCGACCAGCTGGGCTCCAGTGATTTTTCCCCCTCAGCCTTCCAAGTAACTAGAACTACAGGCGTGTGCTACCACACCCAGCTAATTTTTTTTTTTGAATTTGTTGTAGAGATGAGGCCTCACCATGTTGCCCAGGCTGGTCTCGAACCTGCGGGCTCAGGCAGTCCTCTCACCTCAGCCCCTCAAAGTGTTGGGATTACAGGCTCGAGTCACCGCGCCCGGCCAAGATTTTTATTATTAATGATAAACATTTAATTGAAATATACCATTCACACAGAACAGCAAACAAATCTTGAGTGTGTAGCTCAAAATAAACACATTCAGGTAAACAGCACCTGAATCAAGACACAGAATGTGACCAGTTCCCAAAAGTCTGCTTCATGGCCACTTGCAGTCACCACCCGCTGAAAGATAACCAGTACCCTAACTCCTATCACCAAATATTAAAAAGTAAGACTTTCTTTCTTTCTTTCTTTGAGTTGGAGTCTCACTCTGTCACCCAGGCTGGAGGGCAGTGGTACCCTCACGGCTACTGCAGCCTCGATCTGCTGGGCTCAGGTAATCCTTCCACCTCAGCATTTCAGGTAACTGGAACTACAGGCACACGCCACCACACCTGGCTAATTGTTTGATTTTATAGAGATGAGGTTAGGCTTGTCTCAAACTCCTTGGCTCAGGCAATTCTCTTGTCTTGGTCTCCCAAAGCACTGGAAATACAGGTGTGAGCCACCTTGCCTGGCAGACATACAATTTTTGAAAGATGGAAAATCTTATTTTTTGACCAGGCGCGGTGGCTCACACCTATAATCCCAGCACTTTGAGGCTGAGGTGAGAGGACTGCCTGAGCCTACGGGTTTGAGACCAGCCTGCGTAACTTGGGAAGACCTCACCTCTACAATAAATCAAACAATTAGCCAGGAGTGGAAGCGTGCGCCTGTAGTCCCAGCTACTTGGAAGGCTGAGGTGGAAGGATTGCCTGACCCCAGCAGGTCGAGGTTGCAGTAGCTGTGAGTGTACCACTGCACTCCAGCCCAGGCAACAGAGTGAGACTCCAATTCAAGAAAAAAAATTGTATGTCTGTCCGTGGACTTAAACAGCATGTATGATTTTTATGTCTGGCTTATGTTCAACAGTGACTGTGAGATTCAACCACAGTGTGGAGGATGGCACTTCTTTCCTTTTCATCACTATATGAAAGAACCTATTTATATTTACCCATTCTATTGTTGATAGGCACTAGGATGGTTTTCTGCTTGGGGCTAAAACTAATAACGTGGGTATGAACACTACACATGTGCATTTTGGTGCACTTACTATAGCTTCGGTGCCATTCTTTCCTTCCCAGCGCCTTTCTGTGGCTGGCTACTTCCTCGCCTTTCCACAAAAAGACCTTCTTTTGGCAACCTTCAGCGACTCTTCTCAGGGATCTTCTGAACCATGGACTTGGTCAAGCCCCTCCTTGTGGTTGCTTTTGCAACCCCAGCTTGGTGTTCCTCTCCTGCTGCCCCTCAGTCTGGTGCTCCCCAGATCCAATGTCCTAAAAACTCTACACATCGTCAATGCACATTGACATCTTCATGCTAATGAACCTCATATTTCTCCCCTGACAATCCACAAGTACAAAACTCACCTCATCAAATTTCTCCAAGAACTGTGCCTGCTATCAATGGTTGAAATGTTACCATCCACCCAGTGCCTGAGTCTTTCTAGGAATCCTTCTAGACTCTTCCCTTCCCTTTAGCCCCCTGCAATCTTAACTCTCAATTATCAAAATTCGATGAGATCCACCTTCTTCATGGCTCGCAATATCACTCCCTTCCTCCTGTCTCTGAGGCCCCCACCTCAGTTCAGGATCTCCCAGACTATTGGGACAGCCTTCTCCTCTTTCCTCAGGCTGCCCCCTTCTCCCCGACTGATTTACCCTGCAGCAAATCTTGTTATCACACACACTCCACACCCTCCACTGTCCAAGGATGAGGCCAAACCCTTCAGCAAACTCTAAGCCCTTCAAGAACTGTCCCCCTCCTCCCGCTTACGTTTCTCACATCCACTCCCATGTGCCCATTCTGGTACTCACTGGAGCAATTCAGGAGGAGCTCCCAGGAAGCACAGCATTCCTTCTCATCTCCTGGCTGCTGAAAACCCTTTCCTCTCCTTAGAAAGCATCCATCTCACCCCACTCCCAAGCTCTCCTTCTCGCAGCAACCCTTCCAGCCTTCCAGCCTTCCCCCTCTGCCCCTTGTCCAGGTGCCCCAACCCTCCAAGGCAAACATAATGGTGATGATCCCATTATTAGAAGGACCAGTAAGCTTAGCCAGCTTGAGCTCCCTGAGGGCAGGGATTGTGGCATTTTTATTTTGAGCACTGGGCTTGTTTCAGTAAACACTGAATAAACATTTGTTGGATGAATGAATAATAGGGATATTGAACCAACTACACAAAACAGGAGAGAAAAGAACGTTTGAAGAGACGGGACTGGGGGAAAATATTTGAAACAACAAGGAGGGGCCACAGAACCTGTGTACTGTGCTGAGAGGCCTAAATAGCCTGGAGTTTCCGGAGGGAAGAGGAGTTCCTGGGTGATGTTGATTCGAGACTGGAAAAGATGAATCCTGAGAGGGAGGTGCCTCATTGTGACCAGTCTGGTGTTGAGGCCAAAGGTTTGGGGTTTCTGCCTGTCAGTTATGGCTTTCAAACTGTATTTTGCAATTAATACGTGCCCCTATGCCTCTCTATAAAACCATTCCAGGAACTGCCACTAGTGCAGGGGCTAGAAAAGTAAATATGGTCACCTATTCAATGGGGATAATAATTCCTCTCATAAAGTTGTAAAGATTAAATGAGTCAGAACAGATAATGCACTTGGAACAGAGTCTGGCATACTGTTCCACTATGTATACTTTCGTTTTTATTTTCTGGTATTGCTCTCCAGGAGTGGAGTAAGAAAGAGTGTAGGAGAAGGAAATGATCCTAAGACCCTACAATAAGGGCTAAAATGGAGGTGAGCAAGACTGCTGAGGCCCACAGCACAGGCCGTCCTGTAGGATTCAAGTCGTGTGTGGCCAGCGCAGCAGGCAGAGTCTGTTAGCGCTCCAGACTTGGGCCCTGTGGTCGGGACTCCAGTCCTGGGGTCACTCAATTCCCTCCCTCATTATAAATTGGGGCTGGAGCAGGAGGAAGGGGACCACAGCACTGCACGTTTAGAGGCCGAGCCAAGCCTGGACCCAGACAGACAGACCTCCAGAGGCCTGGACGGCTTTCCTTAACCTCCACATTCCCTTCGGGTATGGGGCACAGAGCAGGGCACGATGCGGCGTGGCCCAACGGGAGTAGGCAACTGGGCCGCCGCTCGCGGCGGGAACTACACTTCCCAGCATGCAATGGGGCAAACCTTTCGGCCGCAACCAGCTCCTCGCAAGTTCTGCTGGGAGTTTTCATTGCCCTCTAGGCCCCCTCACCTTTGGATCCGCTCGCGTCTGTTCTAGGCCCCACCCCCTTCTGAGAGCGGAAGACTGCGGAGCCACCGAGGCGGCTTCCCTTTTCCCCTCTCATTGGTCCAGTCCGGCTGCCATTCGGGTGCGAGGCGGAGAAGTGGGTTCCTGATTGGCGGATTCCGTTTGGCGCCAACTAGGAAAGGGGGGCGGGGCAGCAGCGGCCTCTGTGAGCAGCTATTACCGCGAAAGGTCCCACGGCTGCGACAGCCCCAGAGTGAGGTGGAGATCGCCTTGGTTCTCCGCGACAGAAGATATCCTGGACTGTGAGCCTCACGGCTCTTGTCCTCCTCCGCCCACCACGTTTGTTTGGACTTAATCTTCAGGGTTCCGGCGCCCGCCAGCCCGCTGGCCTCGCGGGGTGAGAGGGGAGCACTGGCGCTTGTGGCTGGCGCCTGCCGGGTCCGGACACCCGCCCGTCCGCGCCGCTTGCCTACGGCTGCCGCGTCCCTGAACCGCGTGTTTGTGTTTGACCCGTGGGCGCCGGCGGCGGGGCGCGCGGCCGAGGCCGGTGCCGGTGCCGGCGAGGCCGGGCGGGCGCGGCAGAGGAAGAGGGAGCGGAAGCGGGAGGCCTGCCGAGCCGGGCGCCACCATGGAACTGGGCCCGGAGCTCCCGCACCGCCGCCGCCTGCTCTTCGCCTGCAGCCCTCCTCCCGCGCCGCAGCCCGTCGTGAAGGCTCTGTTTGGCGCGCCAGCCGCTGGGGGACTGTCGCCTGTCACCAACCTGACGGTCACCATGGACCAGCTGCAGGGACTGGGCAGGTGAGGAGGGACCAGCGAGCCGTGCCCCAGGCCTCTGGCTCCTCAGTCGGCCCTCGGGGAGATCAGGCCAAGAACCGGGCCGGCAGAAGGGCGAGACCTACCGGTCTGGGTTCGCCGCTTAGGGGCGGCCGGGCTGGGGTCCGCCATGTGCACCCTTGTCCCTGGCGGAATGTTGGGCGGGAGAGGCCTTTCGGACTCTCCAGGGCTGCCCTCAGCCAGGATCACCTACGCCACTCCTTTCGGATTGCTCTGTACTCTCCCCTTCTGTCCCTAAACTGGGGAGTTCTTTGGATTCGATCCCCACGGGGGGAAATCAGGCCCTTCTGGACGCTCACTTCATCCCTTTGCTGAACTACCTAGCAGGATCTTAGTTTCCTGTGAGCTTTGTTCCTTCTCGACAAAGGGACATGGCGTTTTCTTTCCTTTCAATCTTGGGCATTCCATTTTTAAGCACAAGTTTTGTGTGATCCCGAACTCTGAAATGCAGGAATGCCCCTTTTCAACTTTCAACCCTACTTCGATACCTAGAACACATTCTCTCGTTTCAGGAAATCGCCCAACCTTTGCCATCGTCATCGCATCCTACAACGTGGCCCAGGGCTATGACCCCCTTCCCCGCAGCTTCTTTTTCTCCTATGCATCAGGGCTAAAGGGGTGTTCTGGGTGGCAAAGTGGAATCTGTGGTGTGGCCTAGAAATGATGATGGTTCATGGCAGTCTAGCTACTTGTTACCCTCATGGCTCCTGTACGGTGGTCTTTTAATTATATCCTGGACATCGCTTATATGGGCTTATCTTGGTTTCAGTGAGTATGAGCTGCCACTGGAGGTGAAAAACAATCTGCAGAGAATGGGCTCCTCTGAGTCAACCGATTCAGGTATTTTTTTCTGTCTTCACCATATATTGTATGTCTGCTGTGTGGGAAGCAACCCTGGAAATTTCCTGAAACATGGCCTTTCACCCAGGAGCTTAGTGTTGGTGAGTGGCTGAGGAAGTCGTGGCACTGAGTGACAAACACCATTAGGAACAGTCCAAAGGAGCCCAGTGGCAGTTTATGAAGAGAGGAAATAGGTGTCAAGTGTCAATAGGTCTAAGGAGGGGTGGTATGTGCTTGCTCTTGAAGGATGAGTAGTAGAGTAACATTTACCATGAGTGGTGTTCAAAAAATCTTATTGGTTAAAATACAGGGTCAAATTATTAGAAATACAATATAATGAGATCATTTCAGTGATCCTGCTATGGAGGAAATGTGCCAGTGTATTTCATTATTTTTGTTTGCTTTGTTTTGTTTGAGTCTGGTCTCAAACTCCTCCTGAGCTCAAGCAATCCTGTCTTGGCTTCCCAAAGTGCTGTGGTTACAGTAGTGAGCCACCACACCCAGTCATTTCATTCTTTATAAATTCATGTTCTTGCAGGATTTATCTGTATTTGCACAGATAAGAACATAGGGCAAAGATGCTTTAGGGAACTGCAAGAACAAGTCTTGAAATATATGCTTCTCGCCTGTTGTTCCACTACTTGGAAGGCTGAGGTAGAAGGATCGCCCGATCCCAGTAGGTTGAGGCTGGGGTGGCCATGAGCATGCCACTGCACTCCAGTCTAGGCAACAGAGTGAGACTCTGACTCAGAAAAATAAATAAATAAAAAAATTTTAAAAAGAAATATATGCTTCTGAATGTGATGTAGAATACAATATAGAACTGAGATTAGGATTCTCAATTGTGTCAGTGTATTTCATTTTTTTGTTTGTTTATTTGTATTGTTTTGAGTCTGGCAAACTAGACTCAGTCAGGAACTCTAATACCTAACTTTTTATAAGGTTACATAGACATGAAAGATGTGAGCTGGCTTATAAGGAGTGCTGAGCACTGTCTCCACCCTGCTGCCATTTGTGAGATGGATACTTGGTGACATTTCATTAAAGGCAACATATACCTTGTATGTCATATGACTAATAGTTGTATTTTTCAAACCCCAAAATTATACATGTGATTTGCTAAGGTAAAATATTTGAAAGACGAACTATTCCAGGAAAATTAGGTACCTATTCTTTCAGTGGTTGGAACTCACAGAAAGTTATCTGAATTACCTCTAACTGAATAACCAATTATGATATGATTCAGTTTTATTTACCCTCTCCTCAAATTCTATTTCCCTTGATGGTATTTGCAAGTAGGAGAAAAAGATGAGTAAATATGCTGTGACAATATTAAGACTTACACAAATACTAAGTTTTTGACAGTCAAATAGAGTCTTGAATTCGGTTCTGGCAACAGTACAAGCCATGAATCTTTGATGCTTGACTTAAAAAATACTACTGTCGTTATTTTAATGAAAAATGGTGTTTTGTGTATTATTTCCTAAGAGACTTTCTTTTCCACAGGTTTTTGTCTGGATTCTCCTGGGCCATTAGACAGTAAAGAAAAGTATGTATTCTGTGGTTTTAAATGTTTGTACTTAGAACAAATTTTTCTGAGTTTTATTTGTTTGGTTTTTGTTGTTGTTATTGTTTTGGGTTTTGTTTTTGTTTTGTTTTGTTTTAGTAAGTAGGAATTTATTAGGCTATAGGAATGACCCCAGCAGTGGGAGAGGTCCCGAAATAGGGTTGCCCTTTTGGGTTTTTTGTGGGGTATTTTTGAGTCAGAGTCTAACTCTGTTACCCATGCTGGGGTGCAGCATAGCTGGAACCACTGGCATGCACCACCACACCTAGCTTTTTTTTTTTTTTTTTAGCGTAGAAAGAGAGGTCTTGCCATTGTTGCTTAGGCTGGTCTCAAACCCCTGAACTCAGGCAGTCCTCTTGCCTCTGGCTTCCAAAGTGTTGAGATTACAGGCATGAGCCACTGCACCTGGCAATTTTTTCTTAGTCTTAGTCTTACTCTGTTGCCCAGGCTGGTGTACTGTGGCGTGCTCACGGCCACTGCAGCTTTGACTTGCTGGGCTCAGGTAATCCTTCCGCCTCAGCCTTCCAAGTAGCTGGAACTACAGGCATGTGCTACCATGCCCGACGAATTTTTTTTTTTTATTATAGAGACAAGGTCTCACCCAGTTGCCCAGGCTGGTCTTGAACCTGTGAGCTCAGGCAATCCTCTCACCTCAACCCCCCAAAGTGCTGGGATTACAGGGTTGAGCCACTGCACCCAGCCCTTTTTTAGTTTTTTAATGAAGTTCATATTCCGGACTAGAACCCTGTATTTAGCTGTCCCTAGTAAGACTTCTGCATCCTAGAAATACTTTAGTATCTTGAGAGTGAGTAGTTTATGTCAGCAGTTTTTAGAATTTCTCTTTTATTTTAGCTGTAATTTTGGTGTTATGTTCAAGTCCCACTAAAACCCTTGCTCTATCCTCTGACATATCCTTAAGAGAACAAGTGTAAGCTGGGCTCGGTGGCTCAGCCTGTAATCCCGCGCCTTTGGGAGGCTGAGGTGAGTGGATTGCCTGAGCCTACGGATTCGAGACCCGCCTGGCCAACTTAGTGAGACCTCATCTCTACAATAAATCAAAATGAGCCGGGCGTGGTAGTGCGCTCCTGTAGTTCCAGCTACTTGGACGGCTGAGGCGGAAGGATCACCAATGCCCAGCAGGTCGAGGCTGCGGTGGCCAGGAGCAGCCACTGCACTGCAGTCTGGGTGACAGAGTGAGACTCCAACTCAAAAAAAAAAAAAAGAGAGACAGAACAAGACTTGGGTTTGCTTTTTTCACCTAGAAGACTGGTGTTGGGTGCTGTGAGAACAAAACAGCTTCAGAAATTTATTCTTCTTTTGACTAAAATGGGAGTCTATTTGACTGCCCCCCTCCCAGACTACAAGCTAAACACTATGCATCTGCTAATATGAATACCTGTTTACTTGATTTATTCTCATTATTTACCTTCTGATCTCATTACAGCCTTGAACATCCCATGAGGAGGATAAATTCCCTACCTGTAAGTTAACTCCCTTGTATTGAGCTAATATCTGTTACCTGTTTCTTAGCTCCAATGTGACCTTGATAGGAAACCTTAATTTAGAGAGTGAAAGTCTCTTAAGACATTCTACCTAGAGCAACTTAAGTAATAACTGCCTTTTGAGAAATTTATCCTCCATCTCTAACAAGGTTTTATTAAACCAGGAAGTTTTTTTTTTATGCAAATATTATATTAAGGTTGATTTGGCACAATAATCCCTGCTGAGAAGGCTGTAGACCTTGTGATTTTAGGTGTAATACCATGGAGTGGAAACTTATATGTCCTGGCAAGATGGAACCCTGGTCACATTTACTGGTTACCTACTGCATTGTATGAGGAGCTAGCTAGCCTGGTTCCTCTACCCCTCTTCTTTTTTTCCTTGAGAACTGAGTTTTCCATTTTTTTTGTTTTTGGTTTTTTTGTTTTGGGTTTTTTTTTTTTTTATGTACCTTAATGATTCATTTTTTCACTTTGATAGCAGAAACTTTTGGGATGTAGCCCAGCTCTGAAGAGGAGCCATTCTGACTCACTTGACCATGACATCTTTCAGCTCATTGACCAGGATGAGAACAAGGAAAATGTGAGTGTGGCTTTAGTGTACTAACCCAGGGCACAGATGAAACCCTCAAGTGTCAGTGACTTACAGAGAAATGGCTGCTTTCTGGGAGATTAAACTTTGGACAAATTCATGTGTGGTCTTAGAGTCAGAAATCTGTATTTGAATCCTATTTCTTACTTGCCATGTGACCTTAGCAAGTTTTTTTGATCTGTTTAGGCTCCTTTGTTTCTTTTGTAAACTAGGAGTAGTAATACCTTTTAGGGATCTTGTGGGAATTAAATAAGACTGTATATAAAGCATTGAAAATGGTGCCTGGCAGGTAGGAGTTGCTGAGATGGTAGCTCTTAGGAATAATTATGTCCGTGAATAGTTTATCTGGAAGAGTCTGCTCAGGCTTTCCTTGCCTCTTTGCTCTTACCCTGGAATGAACTGTAAGCTTAGGAAAAGGCTCCCTGGCAGTATTTGAAATAACAGGGCCAAGAAGTTCTAAGGAATCTTAGGGTAACTGAAATGATGGTATGGAAGGTGAATTTGTGGTTGTCCATCCAAGTATACCCTGGCCTAACTCTCTCAGACCTTGCACAGGGTAGGCATCCAAAGTGGTTGCATAAATGAGCTTAACTTTTCCAGCCTTCTCTCTCACTTAATTTCCCTATGTTGCTTTCTCCCCTTTTCCATTTCCTGCTAAAATGCCATGGTTCATAATCCTTATAATCTAGATTTAGTGTAAAACCTACTGCCTTCTTGATCTCTCCTGATGATTTCTTTGTCAACTTAGGAGATGTTATGAGGGAGAATATGGAATAAGTATCCTCCTTAATTTCTTAGAGCAGTGCATAGGCCTCTGTAGTGCTTTCTACCAGGCCAATACTGTACTAATGCCTGGTTCTCCCCCAAACTTGGCTTCTCCCTGGGTTGCCTGCCTGGAGCTTTATTTTAAAGGGAAAACAGGGTAGGTGGTGGTTTTAAAAAGTTCTCTGGAATTGTCCTGTCTGGCTTCTATATTTTGGACACATCACTTATCTTGTAAGGTCTAGTTTCTTCATCCGTAAAATGGGGACAATTGGCTGGGCACAGTGGCTCACGCCCTAATTCCAGCAGTTTGGAAGACAGAGGCAAGAGGATTGCCTGAGCCCAGGGGTTCAAGACCAGTCTGGGCAACTTGGCGACACCTCTTCTTTACAATAAATCAAAAAATTAGCTGGGCGTTGTGGCACGCGCCTGTAGTTTTAGCTGCTCGGAAGGCTGAGGTGGAAGGATCACTTGAGCCCAGTAGGTTGAAACTGTGGTGGCCGTGAGCATGCCACTGTACTCCAACCTGAGCAACAGTGAGACTCCAACTCAAAAAGCGTGGGGGACGGGGGCAATCAGATTGTATTTGGTGGGTAAACATGTTAATACATTGAAAGTACTGTGTTGGCATGTAAGTAACTATAATATTATGATACTGCTTTTGGCACTTAATAACAAGTTCTCAAATGGATGTTTTAGGATAGGGGACATATGAGTGCTTTCGAGCTTTAAGAAAGCAGAATTGCCGGGCTCGGTGGCTCAGCGGCTCAGCCTGTAGTCCCGTGCTTTGGGAAGCTGAGGTGAGTGAATTGCCTGAGCCCGCGGGTTCGAGACCTGCCTAGGCAACTTGGCGAAACCTTATCTCTACAATAAATAAAAAAATCAGCCGGGCGTGGTAGCATGTGCCTGTAATTCCAGCTACTCGGAAGGCTGAGGCGGAAGGATCGCCGGAGCTTAGCAAGTCGAGGCTGTGGTGGCCACTGCACTCCAGTCTGGGCAGCAGTGAGACTCCAACTCAAAAAAAAGAAAGAAAAGAAAAGAAAGCAGAATCATAACAAGAATCATCCATGTTAAATAAACCTGCAGGGTTTTTTTCCATTGCTTTTTTTTTCTTTTGAGTCAGGATCTTACTCTCCCAGGAGGAGTTTAATGACATGATCATGGCTCATGGCACCTTGACGTCCTGGGCTCGGGCTATTCTTCTGCCTCAGCCTCCTGAGTAGCTGGAACTACAGGCATATGCCACCACACCTAGCTAATTTTATTTTTGTAGAGATAAGGTCTCATTATGTTGCCCAGGCTTGTCTCGAACTCCTGGGCTCAAGCTGAATCTTGCTGCCTTGACCTCCCAAAGTGCTGAAATGACAGGCATTTTATTGCTTTTAGTATGGAATACAATAATTTTTTTAAGTGGGGAAAAAATTGTCTCCAATTGGCAGCAAGGGGTAGAAAATATGAAGCCCTCAAACAGATGGTTCTAGATGGAAAGTTTTTACCCCTATTCAGAGGCACAGGCAATGATATTGCTTTAAATTTAATTTAATTTTTTTTAGAAAGATTATGATTTAGCTTACCGTCCATTGTGTTTGGTATACTTGGCAGATACTCATGTGTTAGGAAACAGTGTGACAAGAAAAAAAATGCTGTCTAGGCACAGTAGCTCACTCCTGTAATCCCAGCACTATGAGAGGTGGAGGCGAGAGAATTGCTTGAGTCCAGGGATTCAAGACTAGCCTGGGCAACTTGGTGAGACCTCCTCTCTACAATAAATTTTTTAAAAAATTAGCCATACATAGTGCCATGCACCTGTGGTTCTAGCTACTTGGAAGGCTGAGGTGGAACGATCACCTGAGCCTAGTAGGTCAAGGTGGTGACTGTGAGTGTGCCACTGCATTCCAGCCTGGGCAACAGAGTGAGACTCTTACTCAAAAACAAAGAAAAATAAAAGAAAATGCTGGTTTAGAAGTTAGCTGTTAACAGAGGCTTCGAAGTTCTTAGTTACACAGGTTTAGTATTGGAATTAGGTAAATCCACCGGGCATGGTGACTCACGCCTGTAATCCCAGCACTTTAGGAGGCAGAAGTGAGAGGATTGCCTGAGCCCAGGGGCTCGAGTCCAGACTGGACAACTTGGTGAGACCTTGTCTCTACAATAAATCAAAAAAATTAGCTGAGCATGGTGTCGTGCACCTGTGGTTCCAACTACTTGGAAGGCTGAGGCAATGAAGTTCAGCAGGTCGAGGCTGAGGTAGCCATATGCATGCCATTGAACTCCAGCCTGTGTGACAGAGTGAGATTCCAACTAAAAAAAAAACAGAAAGAAAGAAAAATAGGTGAATCCTTAATTTGGAGGTAGTTATAAAACGATCATCAGTGCCCACTCCCTTGCCTACCTCACTTCAGTCACAACTGAGACCCTAGAGTTGGTTTTCATGGACACTAGAAGATGTCTTTACTATACTGTCTTGTAGGAAGCCTTTGAGTTTAAGAAGCCAATAAGACCTGCGTCTCGTGGCTACCTGCACTCTCATGGACTTGAGGAGGGTAAAGATCTCTTCGCACAGAGGCAGAACTCTGCCCCAGCTCGGATGGTATGTGCTCTGGCTTTCTTTTATTTATTTATTTATTTTTTTGAGTTGGAGTCTTACTCTGTCGCCCAGACTGGAGTGCAGTGGCCGCTCCCGGTCACCGCAGCCTCGACCTGCTGGGCTCCAGCGATCCTTCTGAGTAGCTGGAATTACAGGCACGCGCTACCATGCCCGGCTGATTTTTTGATTTAT